CTGCGCCCCCAGTCCCCTGGCAGACGCCTGGTGACTCCTGAGCATCAGTTCTGAGACAAGCCTGATATAGGTGATTATTTGAGTACAAGCCATCTCCTGGGTAGAGAAACACTAGCCAAACTAAAAGATAACTCAGCACTAAAGTGATTGAGCAAATATTCACTTGCTTGAGACAACAGGGTGACTCTGTGGCTGATTTCTACACCAGTATGCAGACGTAACTTGAACTTCAAGCTTCAAGTCAAAGCGGCAACAACAACAGTAATAACAGAATATGCAAAACAAGTGATGCACAATGCCATTGCTTACCACCTGCCGACCAATGCTCAGCCAGTTCCTGAGCAGTGGCCCCACAGCTAATTTTCCGCCTGTTTATATACTGAGCATGACATTGTACAGTATGGAATACCCCTTTGGCCAGTTTGGGTCAGCTGTCCTGGCTGTGCTCCCTCCCAGCTTCTTGTGCATCTCCTCACTGGCAGAGCATGGGAAGCTGAGAAGTCCTTGATATAGTGTAAGCACTACTTAGCAACAACTAAAACATCAGTGTGTTATCGACATTATTCTCATACTAAACCCAAAACACAGCACTATACCTGCTACTACCAAGAAAATTAACTCTATTCCAGCAGAAATCAGGACAACTGGCTGTAAAAGCAATAAAGTGATGATCACTTTCAAAGACCAAACCCATCAGTGTCACTGATACGAATGTTGGTGCTGATGTTACTCCTCAGCATGCAGCTTCCAAGAACCAGAGATGAACTTTTCTGGGAGCACCAGCTCTTGATCGCCTATTAAATTCAGTTGCATCAATGAAATCTTGATCTGACATTATTAACCAGCATCCTGTCTTCTGTACAGTCCATTGCTGATTGTGGACTCATTCCGTTGAATTTTACGTGGACGCTGGCCTTCTCCACCTAAATGGCTGGAGGAAGCCGTGGCCCAGGTTTCCCGATCAGGAGGCATCATTGCACTGGGGCAGACACAGCAGCGATGCCGTGGGCTGCTGTAAAAGTGATGCTGTATTTCTCACGACTGCAGGGTGCTGGTTGCTCGGCCATGTGTGAGTGAGAACACATTTGTATATCACAAAATGCAGATGCTGCCTGAGGCAAATCTGAGTTTTCTTTGGGGTGGCCGTGGAAAAAGAGCAGATAACGTACGTGTACTGATAGGCACCACCACTGTCCCAAAGGATATTCTCCATGGTTAGGGTCAATTGATAAGGAAGAATTATTTTATATGAGGTTTGAAAGTAACAAGCATCTCTACTTCTGGTGCTCTGCAAGCCCAGAGGGACAGCAACTTGTTTGCCATTACCTGGTTTTGTGATACGGAAAGACTTTGAGCTTTTTAAGAGAGTGGTTTGAGAGATTATTTATTTTTTACTCTGAATCTAAGTATTCTTTCTCTTTTTACTTCCCCACAACTACAGTTTCTTATAGAGGAAGAAGTGCTGGATAAGGCAGAGATCTGGGCACAGAAGTACCTATATGCTCACCCTTTCTGGTTCGGCAGTTTCTCAGCAGTCCTGGTTATCACCGATCCCGACTATGCCAAGGCTGTGTTGGCCAGAGGAGGTGAGAATATGCCACCTTCAGCTGTGGAGCGACAACCCCAGCCTGCAGATTTCCCATGCCAGCCTAAAAATTCACAGTGAGGCAGGGCTTCACAGAGAGGTTGTCTTGCAGAAATCATCTAAAAGCATGGAGAGATACCCCTCCTCCATGCCGTGCCCTCAGTGCTTCAGGCACAGAACTGCGAGGGTGATGGGGACCTCTCCAAATCTGGCAAATCAAACTTCCTCAAGTCCTCCTTGAGAAGTTATCTTCTCGGTGCCTGACCCCAGCAAGGAGAAGACAGCTGGAAGCTTTTTCCTCAGCTCAGACCTCTGGCTCCTACTGTGGAGCTGTATCTTTAGTGCGTCGAGAGAGAAAGGTGCTGAACTGTGCTGTCTGGGAGGGTTAATCATTTATCACACAGCACAGATTTTGGTCTACCAATATTCTTGTTTATTCCAGTCTTGGCATCTGCTTTTCTGTGTGTTTCTTGCAGCTGGGCCAAATGGTGTTGTTTTGTTGTGAAATGCTGTTGAATTCTGCAGGGATGCCACCAATTCTGCTTCATACCCAACCAAAAGTGAGAGCCCAGAGGGAGCTTTAACGTGCAAACCAGTTGATTGGTGCTAGTGAAACATTTACCATTGCCTTTTCTCTTTCTTGATGATTTTTTTTACAGATCCCAAGGATAACATCAGCTATAAACACCTCGTCCCGTGGATCGGTATGTATTCCCACAGCGTTGCCTACCAGGAATGATTCTGAAGTTAGTCAAGAACATGTTATAAACAAATAGCATTGTCTTTGTTTCTTGATTCAGTCATAGCTATAAGGTTCCCGAAATTATTATGATTACTGAAAAAGGTACTAAATAATGCTATTTTTGGTGATTTGGGGAAAGGAAGTTCAGACACAGTCATAGGTACTAATGAGAACCACTGACACGTCTGTAGATAGCAAAGGGTGGTGACGGGAGAAGCTCAGATTCAGTGGAGGACCGGTGAAAAATGCACCTGCTGATCTGAGCTTCTCAGCTCCAGCAGTGCTGGTGTTTCTTTTTGGAGGCAGTGCTGTGTCATTTTGGTGAGCAGGGCTCTGCTCGGCCCTGGGAACCCTGGAGCTGACAGCAAAATTTGGAAATACCGTCTCGTAGCAGCTCAGCCAGCAGATTTAATTGTGCTCCTTGCAGGCGGAGGCTGTGTCCTCGGGCAACTGTTAGCAGCCTGCTTGTGCCCAGCAAAACAATCCTTGCCTGTGTTTCCCCAGGGAACGGGTTACTGATCTTACACGGGCCAAAATGGCACCACCATCGAAAACTCCTGACTCCAGGGTTTCATTATGATGTCTTGAAACCGTACGTGGCCCTGATGGCAGAGTCTACTAACGTGATGCTGGTAGGTTTCACCTCTGCTCCTCTCCCTGCCCTGTTTACTTTTCCCTGATCTTGACTCCTTAGTAGGTAAAAGCTGAAGCAGTTTTCTTGCAATGTCTGTATTCACAACCTGGTAAGTGTAAGGACAAGCTGTGTCCCAGTGGTCAAGGTTTCCGAGTCACCAGAAATCTTTATCCATGGGCTGGAAGGAATGAGCAGGTTGAGCCTCAACTGTGTCTCAAACTGGGCTCTACAGCTAAAATTTGCATATTAACGTTACTGCCATCTCCAAACTGTGCATAATGTCAATCTCAACTGCAACTTCTTATAAAGCATTTTTGTAAGTGAAAAATTGAAGTAAATAAAGGTTCATAATAAATACTGGAAATATAAAGGTTGGAGCCAAGCTACACTGCAACCTAAGGTAGAAGGGTATCATTTGCTGTCATCATGGCCATGGCTGGACTGCAATCCCTGCCCTGCCTCATACACAGTGAAACTGCACTGTCCTTCCATCTTGTGGTGCTGGGCACAGCGGAAACCAGTGTGAATTACAGGTGAGGGGCACCAGGCTTTATGCACACTTGTCCTGAACTGGCAGGAATCTTGGTATCGGATCTGTTCCTTCTCCTTTGCCTCCCTCCATCCAACCTCCCCAGCAGCTCCACATGGATCCTGGCTGTCCCCCCTCCCACCGGCCCAGGGAGCAGCCAGGAGCTGGGGGATGGAGAGCCAGGAGAGATTTTGCAATGAGCATGATTCCTTGCAGACAATGCGTATGCCTATTGTGGGAGCCTATGACACCACGTAGCAATCTTTGTATGTGCTGAGGACATAAATCTGGACATAAAACCCCTGTTCCCCAGCGTGGTTTCAGGCTGTGGGATCTCAGATGTGACTGTGCTCCTCCATCTGTGCTCCTAAATCTCCATTTAGATTCAGATTGGATATTAGGAAAAAATTTTTTACCATGAGAGTTGTAGAACACTGGAACAGGTTGCCCAGAGAGGTGGTGGATGCTCCATCCCTGGAGCCGTTCAAGGCCAGGTTGGACGAGGCCCTGAGCAACCTGATCTAGTTGGAGATATCCCTGTTCCTTGCAGGGGGGGTGAACTAGATGACCTTTGAAGGTCCCTTCCAGCCCTAACCATTCTATGATTCTATGATTCTATGATCTCCTTCCTTTCTCAACTTCTGAGTCCACTGGTTCCTTACAGCCATGAAGGGACAGAGGATTTGACATCATTCGTGTCTGCTAGACAAGAGATAGATGCTGCCATTTTGATGGCAACTAAGAGATCCTCTATTTTTTTTTCCATTTCTCTGGGATGTATCCCTAGCTGAGCGCTCATATAATTGGAGTATGAATGCAGATCTTGCAGAACTGTCCCTTGCCTTCTCATTTCTGTCTCCTTGCATCCTAGGATAAATGGGAACAGCTGATGACAGACAGGAAACCAGTGGAGCTTTTTGAGCATGTCAGCTTGATGACTCTCGATAGCATCATGAAATGTGCCTTCAGTTATCACAGCAACTGCCAGACCAACGGGTCAGTGCTGGCTGCCCCAAACCCTGGCAGAAAGCTTGCAGCTCCAAAGGAAAGTGGGCAAATTGCTCATTGTGACGCTCCCAAATTTACAAACTTCCACCATTCTCCACCATTTTCCTCTCCCCAGGAAAAACACCTACATCCAGGCTGTCTACAACCTATGCCACATGGTGGACCAGCGCCTCCGCATCTTCCCCTATCACAGCGACGTCATTTACTGGCTCAGCCCCCATGGATATCGGTTCAGGAAGGCCTGCCAGCTCGCTCATGACCACACAGGTATTCCCTGCTTTCCTCCTCTCCCAAAGCTTTCGAGCAGGATTGGCGAGTTACCTCCTTGTCCATGCAGTGACCCTGCCTGGAGGCTTAGAGCAGGGACCCAAGCAGAGCATCAGTGGTGTGGTCTAGGCATGAAGCAAGAGAGTCTTACAGCTCCTGGGTTATTAAACTGGAGTAATGGAGGACTTCCTCTCTGCGAATGTTCCTGTTAAATGACCACACTGGTGAGACAAGGGATGGATGCTACAGGCAACACCACCGCAAGGGATGATTTTCCTTTTCAGTCCTGGCATGATTCTAATACAGGAGGGGTGGGGAAAATAGGCTGAGGAGTCTGTGGTGGATAAAGAAGTTTGCAGAAAAGAATGGCAACGTGCATGGCATTTGTTGCTATGCTGCTGAAAAAGCCAAACTGCCCGGGATGCAGAAGCACACGTGTCAAATGCATCATGGACTGAGTGGTGGTCACCCCCTTGGGTGAGCTTTGCATTGGCAGAGCG